GGGGGCGGGCCCGCCCCCGCGCGCATCCGCAGGCCTGCCCGCCCGCCCCGCGAGGAATGCCAGCTATTTCTTTGAAGGGGCGGGTGTACTCAGGCGCCTCCTCCCTCGCTCAAACCGGGAGGTTTACCCCTCGTTCATGCATGTATTTGTCAACAACCTTTTTGCCAGGTTTAATAAAAGTCCTGATGCCAGATTCCCCCCTCGTTGTACAGTATCGGGCAAGCACGTTTAAGACCTCGTGTTAGAAGCCTTGTTCTTTCAGAAATCTGTCTCAACTTCTGCTTTTATCAAAGTCACTTACTGTGATTACGGGAACTGGGAAGTAAGCCTGTGGATATAAAGAGTCTCCTTGGGAGGACACAACTTCTAAGTGAATATGCAGTTAATCGGTCCGATACTGATTAGAGCTTATTACTTTGGAAGGAATGAAGGCTTTTTCAGTGATGGGCAGTAGTTGTGTTCCTGTATGATAAAATATAAGGGGAATTTCTTCCCCTAAATAAATATACAGATCAATGTCTAGGACAGTGCTTCCCAAACCTGGGTAAATTACCCAAAAATGGATAAAAGTGTTTTTATTTTGGGTAAGGACACGAACCCAATCACAACAGGGACATTTAAATTGACTTAAAGATTGCCAGGTATACTGAAGTATATTTGAACATCGTCCAAAATGTTCCCATTAAGATGAAAATCAATGAAATTACCAATGGTAACTTGTTGAAATGACATAAAGATCATTCAGTGATATTGTTTTTATAATACAGGTAGTCCTTGAGTTATGACCATTCGTTCAGTGGCTGTGCAAAGTTAGGGTTTTGGGTAATGAAGGAAAAAGTTTGGGAAGCACTGGTCTGGGCCTTAAAAAGCTAAGAGAAGGGTTTATATTGTAAAAACAAAATTGTATTTTATTATAGTTACTGTTCTTGCTTGGATAATTATAGAAAAGATATTTAATATTAATGTATAATGTAGATATAACATGGCAAGGAGATTCTAAAGCACGTTTGTGTATCTTAAAATTATTTGTCTTTTATAATGTGGGTGAGAGCAGGTTCTAAATATGACCTTCTTCAGAATACAAACCCACAAGAGTTCTCTGTGTTTAGCAAGTTTTGCTTGTCTCACTAGTAGTCATTATGTTTTAAAAGAGGGAAATAGTTAAGTGGAAGGATGAGATTGCAGAATATTATTCTGGCTATGAAAACACATATAGGAAGTTAAGAAATTTGCAGTTTTTGCACAGTATAATTTAAAGAGAGCTCCTATCTACCATGATCTTCCCATATAGTTCAGTGCGTCATGGTATGATGTTGACATGGCATGTTTTCATGTATTAGGGTATGGTATTATGCATGTACCTAAGAAACAAAAAAACAAATAAATGCAAAGGACTTGACATTAAGATGGTCAGTGGAAATTTTAATTGTCTAGAACAATTAATTTTTTTTTCCTCAGAGAATGCAAATGCACATGTTCTAACATTAACTGGAAAGAACTTGAAATTTCTATTTAAGCCTCTTTCTCTATAATATTAATTATACATTTGTAACCCCTAAACATTTTAATTGAATTGTAATTTAAAATACTGCCTTCTTGGTAAAACTGGGAGAACAGCATTTTGAAGCACTATAATTTTTTACTTCTGTTAACTCAAATTGAATGCCTTGAAATAGAAATAAGTTTTGTAAATTACTATATATTAAAAAATAAGAATATGCTTTATAATAATATATAATACTTATTTGTATGCTTGAAGATTTCCTAGGAATAAATTGAACTGAATCACACTGGAAATGGGAGAAATCATGGTTTAAAGATTTATAATTTTCTCTTTCATGAAATCTATAATTTTAGGTTTTTGCAGGTACTACAAGTACCACTTGAATGAGTATTTTTTAAATCTTGAGATATGCCTTCTAAAATTGTAATTTTAGGGATATTTATGCTTAGATTTAGAAGCAAGATTAAAATGGCTTAATAAGGATGTAATTTGGGTACCAGGTATTTTGTCAAAATTTTAAATGAGAATGCTCATTGTTTTAAACTGAAAAAATAATTTTAATATTAAAGGCTTACTAATAATATGCAATAGCATTTGAAAAATGTTCAAAATTTTTTATTTGTATTCTAATTTTTATAGCTGACTCAAGTTTGTTTTTGTTTTTCTTTTCTCAGGGCTGTTTTGCTTGGCAGATGGACCCTAAGTAACACTGAATGTTAGCTCTGGAAATTTCATAAGCTCTGCAGTGGCTGGGATGTTGCGACAGAACGGTGGCAGCAACAAGCGTGGTTTAGGATTAACTAAACTGTCTACCTCCAATTTCTTCACCATCTCTAATACAGGAAACTGGGGGATGGGGCGCAGCACCAAAAGTAGTTCTCTGAGCAGCATTAGCTCAAACTCTGATGGCTATGACAGCACTATTGTGGACCCAGAATATATCATGCAGCTGGTGAACGATGTCAGAAAATTTGCAGATGTTCTACTTTATTTGAAAGAAGCCATTCTTTCAGAAGGTTTGTCAGCTGTTTCTTGGTAACTTCTCATTTGATATGTACACTTGTAGCAGATTATTTAGTAAAATATGACTCTAGGAATGTTAAGTTGGAACAGTGGTAAAGTTATCTTGGGTATGTTTGCCATTTACAGGAAATTGTGGCTTTTACTTTGCTAACTTCCTGTGTGAAACATTGCATAGGAACTGAAAGTGAGCATTGAAGGTTTTGATTTAAATGGATTGCACATTGCTTCTTTACCTTAATAGTATTTTCATATATGAATGGCTTTCCCTTGTTATCACAGTTTTGACAGTTTATTTGGGCTGACCTTTCTTAAAAAGAACTACTATTTCAAAACAAAACTGGATGAGACATTTTTGCCACTTACTGCCAGCATATGGAAACAGCAAATTGGTTTGCACAGACTCTCTTAATTCTGTTTTCTTCTTAGGGGGAAGTAGCATATTATTTTGCTAAGCAGAAAGGAAGGATTTCACACAGTTTGGGCATAATGCTAAGCTGTACTTTAGTAGCACATACAAACTGGGCTATTGGCAAGATTTTTCTTTATTTTGAAGAATATAAAACATTTATCACCAGTTATTTTCATTCTTCTTAGTATTCTAAGTAATAACTTAAGTGATAATGTTTCTCTGGGCTTTTGCATCTGTTATAGAACAGTAAGTAGTTTTCCTGTCAAATGAGTGAAAGAGAGATGGCCAGTTAAATGCAGTCTTTATATGAAAAGATAAAAGCAACTTACAGTAGGAACTGGCTTCCAGATTGAAATACCTTATTATATTCTTTGCAAAGTAATTAATGAATCCTTTAGACTGAGCAGTATAACTATGTAATGGAATAGAATTGACTAAGAATATATATCCTCTTTGTGGAGCAGGCACCTCACAGGGTGGTTGTTGTGGGGAAAATAGAGGCAGGAGAATTAAATATGTTCACTGCCTTGAGTTATATATATATATATAAAAAAGGCAGGATAAAAATATAATAATAGCCTTTTATAAACCTTCTGTAGTTTTGAAAGGGCTGTCAGTGACCAATAGATTTTTTTTGAGTGGTTATAGTTAAATTGTCTATTGATACAATTGTCATTAAAGAGAAATATAGTCTCAGAATATATTTATGCAGTGTTTTAAGTTATAACCAAAAGTTTTTAAACCTCAGTGGATGAGTTCAGATAACAAACCAAGTTAAATCTACATTATGGCTTAGAAAGATATGTGACTCCTATAACAGCATTTGATGTAAATTTTAAAATTCCATGGTATAGTATAGCTTTTGCCTATTACACTAAATTATATAAACATTGATTACTGTACTTTTAAATTAGGATCTTTGTAAGCTGTACATCTTAAGCAACTTGGTGGCAGTATTTTTAAAAAGTATTATAGAGATTGTATATTAGTAAAATAATTGCCTCACTGGATACAGAATAAGAGCTAATGAAATTTCTAATAAGTTTTAACTATGTCCTCGGAGACTGTGTTACTTCTATTTATAGGAAGTTTAGGCTTGTAACCAATAGGCACCTTGCAGTTTGGGGAGCTGTTGTATCTCAAAGAAAAAGTCTTCATGTTGAGGCGAGAATCATAATCAACTATGAATTTTCCATAGAGAAAATTAGAGCCTTTGGGCAAATCTGAATATTGCATAAATATTGCATAAATATTATACAAATTTCTGTGAAGCTTGGATTCTGAGAGGTTTGGATTCTGATTCTATATGCTCAGATCAATAAAAATTCCAAAAAAAGATGTAGTAGTATAAAAGGAATTGTCTTCTGGATCTAGTAATGGCAAAAAGTGAAGAATAGAAATTCATGATACATGAAATAATTTGAACTATATATAAGGAGTTTTTGTGCTAACCCAGGTTTAGTAAGATGAGATTGAGTTGCAGTTAGCTATTTCTCCTTCATATTATGTAGCTGCAAAGATTAGTTCAAAACTTTGCTTGAATACCATTAAATATAACAAAAATGCCTGTTGGAAATCTTAGTTTTTTGGTAGGCTTATTTCAAATAAACTATAATGAACATTAACCACAATTTGGTGAGATGGATGCTATGAGAAGCTGTGATTAAGCAAAAATAGAAGCAAACATTTCTGAGCAAATCTTTGCAGTGAACAATTTGCAGTGAACACAGGAG